TAGAAACAGAGCATCTGCTTCTCTTTACAGCTGCTCGCTCCACCAGGGCTGTTTGGCTCTTTCTGATAGTGAGCACATGTGATGCACGTACTGCGGCAGTCATACAGACAACTGGACGGTCCAAAGGTTGGCCGACCTGTTACTGGCTGAGGTTTCAGTAGAGCTGTGGCTGAACCACATAAAAATATACCATTAATGCTTCAGCACCCCCAAAAATGGGCTAAAATCGCCCTAACTCCAAATACTCAACCAGACCGCCGTCAGGTCTCGCACGCTACAGCCGCTCTATCACGTGACACATACTGCTCCGACGTGCTCCGAGTTACGCCATGTCGCAAGTTTTGTGAGGTACTTTCATTATATGTAATGGATCGGATTACATTTTTTTATTTCTCTCCGATGTCCGATCCAGTAATTTAGGTCAGTATCGGACCGATTCCCATACGTCATGTCGGATCGGTCCATCTCTAAATAAAACTGAACAGATCTAAAGAAGTGTTCCTGAAATTTGGGTTTATTAGAACAGGACGGATGGATGAGCACAGCCCTCTCAGCACAGGGCTGACAGGACTTATAAACCATAATATACATCAAATACACAGTGACTTAAAAGAAATCAATAAATACACAACCACTTCAACCGCTGCTTCCTCAGACTGCATGAGTAACAGGAACCACTCACTGTCGGATCTGTGAGCGCTAAAATGACTCTGTTACTAGAGTCATCCAGTCGTTCTCTAAAAGTGAACATTAACTTTCTTCAAAGTGCTTTAAAAGTCCAAACACCCACAGCTACAAACATCTGGCTGGCACTACCCCCTCTAGGTCTCCTGACCACAAGGGGGCAGTATATAACAGTATGCAACAAACATAAATCAACAAAATCACTTAAACAAAAGCTGAATTTGTGTCAAACAGTATTTGCCTGCACATAGAGCTTACATCGTTGTCTGTATATGTCATCATTTCTTTGGTCAGTAGTAAAGTAACCGAGGTATTTCCCCCTTTTTGAAAGAAAAAATGTGTAACCCCTGGACTAAAGAACAAATACTCCACGTGGGCGAGGTGCTAATTTTCAGATGGCAGGTCTACATCTAGAATCAAAATGAGCACAAACATCAACAACCAAAGTGAAGCATTAAGACAAAACAGAGCAATGTCACACAGGATCCACACATTTGGGCCACAAAATAGATGTAAATTGACTAAAGTA